GGTAGCCAAGCCCCGCGGCATTTCCCCCCCCCCCCCGGCCCCCCGCCCCATCCTGGCGCCCGCTCGGGCGCGGTGGCGGAATCAAGCGACAACGCGACGTGATGACCGATATTTGTCGCGCTGCGGGCCGACGAAGTTCCTGTTCAAATTAACTGCAACTTGTGCCGCGCGGCTTCGGCGCGCGGGCACGCGCCCACATGGGTCCAAATACGAGGCGCGCGTTGCCGGCCAAAACGCCCAATGGATTTCTGCGCGTCGCCAGCGTCAGGCTCTCCTACAACGCGAGAGGCTTCGACGCGCGCGCACGGGAGCGACGCTGATGCGCGGTGGAAGCCTTTCGAAAAGTGGGCCTGCACCCCACCAACCGCTGGGGCACTCGCGCAAGCGTCTCCTTTCGGTGAAACAGCCGCTGCTGGCTGCGCTACGCGAGCGCTCGCCGAATTGTTAGCCTGCGCGAGCGCGACTCCGGCGCGCGCCGCCTAGTCCTGGCTGCCAGCCTCGCGCTCCACTGGGCAATCCGCGATGACCTCGTAGGCCTCGCGTCCGCGGCGTGCTTCAAATACCGCCGCCGGACTTATGGCTGCGCCTGCGCGCCGCCCGGCTAACGCCATCGCGCGCGCGCGCGCAGACCCCCGCCTGAGCGGCCACGCAGGGAAAATCTGCGCTCCTGATGCCTGGCTCTCTTGGCCCACGGCTCGCCGCAATCGCCGCGATCGTTTGGCGCCGCCGGGGGCGCTGGAGGGGACTTGCCCATTCCGCCGCCCTTGGCGCCCTTGCCGCCGTCCTTGCCAGACCTTCCGCCGCCCTTGGCACCCTTGCTCCCGCGCGGGGCTGAGCGCTTCTGGGCGTCGCGGTCGCGCGCGGCATCTGCGTCGCTCGGGAGCGTCGAATCGACTGTCGCCACGGCAGTTTCAACGTCGAATGAATCATCGCCGGCGCGAGACCTCTCTGCCCAATTGCGCCGACAAGTCTCGTCGTGAACAAGCCCCAGAGCGCTGCTCCGATCGCCCGCGGGCCCCCGCGCAGCCACCTGCCACGCCGCGCGCGCATCGCACTCGCGCCGGTGGATCTGAACCGCAACTGGGAGGAGCGGGCCTTCAGGACGTTCTGGCGGTGGCGATCGTCGCGACCAATGACGCGCGCTCTACGCGGGCGCAAGCGATGGCGCGCCTGCGCGCTCATGCGACGCCGCGGCCCTTTGACGCGCGTCTTCCGCAATGGCGCGCGCGCCTGTCGCGCGCGGCATGCCGCCGCGCGAAGGTGAGCGACTTCGCTTTGACTGGGTTCGCAGCGCCGAGCGCGCGCGCGCGAGGTCGCGAAGGTCCCTCGACATGGTCGGGCCGGCGCCCACCTCGTCTCTCGCGCTCTTCGATTCCGCCCAAAAGGCAATAACTTGTTCAAGTCGGCGAAAACCAATGGCCGCTTGATGCCGCGACGCATCGGCCGCTTCGCGCCCGACTCAAGGCCGTCGACCGCTGCGGGCCGCGGCCAGAAAGCCTGTCCCAACCCCTCAGGGCGCCATCCTGCAACTTCGCGTGTATGTCCACGTGGCACATTTGCTCGGGCGCTGACCCGCTCCCGGCCGTGCTGCCCGCGCTGGCCGGGTCGGCCGCGCGTCGTTGTTCCTCCGCGGTCAGGGCTTTCGCGGCCGCCATCGCCCTGCAGCGCCCCGGCGTCTGCGATGGCAAGGTCACGCGCCGACGTCAACTCGCTGGCCTTCGCGCGAAATGCAGGCGCGCCGTCGAGGCATTCGCAAGCGGCCGCGTCGCATGACACAAAGCGGCGCACTCCCCTAGCCACTCCGCGTCGCGACTGTCGTTAACATGGGCGGCAAGAAAATCGCACAATATCATGGAAAGCGCGGGCGTTGCAGCGCGCGTCGATGATGCGTGAGCGGCGCGCGCAACGGAATGCTCGGATCGCGCCTGCTGCCTGCGCGCGCTGCTGGATGGAACGCCCCAATGCCCGACGCGCAATGATACGGTCGCGTTGACGCGGTCGCATTGACGCGTTCTAGTAGACACACTATAGACAATCGCACTGATACAATTGCATGGGCACAAACGAAATACTGACACGAAATACTGGCACGGCTGTATTGACACGGTCGCATTGGCACGGTCGCATTGGCGCGGTCGCACTATTGACGCGTTCGCATTGACGCGTTCGCATTGGCGCGGTCGCAATAACACGGCTTTAGTGACACGGTCGCACTGACACGGTCGTTATCGGCACGGTCGCACTGACACGGCCTCATTGACACGTTCGCATCGACACGGTCGTTATCGGCACGGTCGCACTGACGCGGCCTGAGTGACAGGAAAAGGAAAACGCCGCCACGGCGGCCCGACGACGCGCGCGCCCTGCGGCGCTGCGCGTCTGACGCGGGGGCATATTTACCCCCCGCGCCGCGAGGGGGAACAAGGATGCAGCGAGCACGAACAAACCGAGGAACACGAAGTCCAGGAAGACCTGAGGCGAGCCCCCAACCAAAACTCACCCCCCAAAACCTGACCCAGCCCGCCCCGCCGCGGGCGCCGCGGCGAACCGTAGCGCCCACGGCGGGGCGGCAAGGGAAAGGGTTCCCAGGTCAGCGTTTTTGCGACAGCGAACAAAACTGCGCTGTGCTCTCGCCGACAGAGCATGGGAGGATGCAGTGCTTGCCTCTGGCCCGAATGATGGTCCACGGGCGCAGCCGCGGGGGCCACCCTCTTCCTATTCACCCTATCTTCGCTCTCCTCCTCCTCCTCCTCCTCCTCCTCCTCCTCCTCCTCCTCTCCTCCTCCTCCTCCCTCCTCCTCCTCTCCTCCTCCGCCTCCTCCTCCGCCTCCTCCTCCTCCTCCTCCTCCTCCTCCTCCTCCTCCTCCTCGGCTTCCGCCCGCTGAGACTCGCTCAACCGGTCTGGGGTTCCCGCATGTCCAGCTTCGCCTGCCGCGGTGGCCCAGCCCGTGTGCGCCGTCGGCATTTTTGAATTTTATACGGGCCAGCCTCGCGAGGCCAATCGCATGCTGCCCCTGGCCGCAGCAGCCACCAAAGCACAGGCGGCCGAGACGCGGACGAACACATCCGACTTGGCTAGGTCCGCGTGCTAGCCGCCGCAGGGGCGTTCACCAACATGCCATCGCGCCTATCGCCGTGCACGGCCAAGTCTTCCGGCGTCGCCAACTGTTCGCCAAGTGCCCAGAAGACCCTGCAACCCCGCAGCTGCGCACGCGAAGGCCTCCAGATAATAGCCCGAAGAGGGTGGACAAGCTCCACGGCTGCTTCAAAGCCCTAACACATCACGTACATGGGCGGCATTAATAAAAAAAAAAAAAAAAAAAAAAAAAAAAAAAAAAAAAAAAAAAAAAAAAAAAAAAAAAAAAAAAAAAAAAAAAAAACAGGGCCGGGCAAGACCATAATGAAAAGCGTAACCCAGACGAGCACCTCCACCAGTGACATCAAGAGAAGTCTCAGCATGACCCTCCACAGAGGGCTCCATCGACGTGCACCACGGTGCTAACGATGTGGCAGTCCACATGCAGCCGGGCCTGGTGCCGCCAGACTACGTCGGGGTCCACCGCAGCAGCCGCCGTCAACGTAGAAATTCTGTCAAGTCTGAACGCGTCTCGGTATGGCTATCATCAGAAACGCGACAACCACACCTTGCTTCTACGTGGGCTGCCCGCGCGCACGTTTCTCTGTTAGCAGCGCCCTGGTCCGATAGCTGCTCTGGCAGGTTCCAGATGGCGCCAGGGTCGGCTAGCAAATCTGCCAGCCGCAGCGAGGCGTCGCCAAGCCGCACCACTCGTGGACGCGAAAATCCAGCAGCATCAGGAACTGGACTGCCTTCAGCAACAAGATCTGCACAGGTAGGGTACATCCGATGGCATCAGCCGTCGTGCCACCAACACGTCCCCGCGCCGTGGTAAGGAAGAAGACCCGCACCAGCGCCCCAAAGGACAACGTGAGCTGTCAGGGGTCGAGGTGACAATGATACAGCGGTGCAAAGCAAAGCGCTTCTGAAACATATCTGGAGGTGCCCGAGCACGATGAGGGCCAGCGTCGCGAACATTCGCGATGACGTTGAAGTGCACAACTGTGTCGGCAGCATACACGGCTGCTGCAGCAGAAGAACCATGATGCGGACGGTGAGAATGGAGCTGTAGCGTGCGCAGTGGAAACATACCACGCACGACGTGCCCATCGCGATCCCCACAAACATGTGTCACCGTCGCCGTGGTACGCCGTGATGAAGAATTCCCCATCTCGAAGAACAAGCGCGGCACGAACCACTTCGCGATAAGCCGCATGCCTGCGAATTTACAAATCACCACGGCGTCCAACACCACGAAGCGCCGCCAAAATCGCGCCTCCCACTGGCGAAGCTTGTAGCACCACCAAATGCAAGCCCACGCATGCAATCACGCAATCATGAACTGGACTGGCTATGGATTGGTGACGGAGGGGGAAGTGGAGGATTATGACGAGGGCAACGGGGGAACACGGGAAGGGAAACGGCAGGAGGAGGAGGGGGCGGTCTTACGCGGAGAGGAAAAGAGGGAGGAAGAAGGGGTCCCGAGCGAGGAGGAGGAGGAGGAGGAGGAGGGGCACAACAAGAAGGGAGAGACCAGAGATAGTGAGAGGACGGTGCGGAAGAGCATCGTCCTGACAGTGATATATCCAGCAGTGAGGATAACGCACGCCAGAGGGGAAGAGAGGGGGCGGAGGGGAAGAGAGGAGGAGGAGGAGGAGAAGGAGGAGGCCGACGACGAGAAGCAGCAGCATCACAGTAGCAGCAGCACGAGAAGCGGGGCAAACGAGGACACTGCCCGACCTCCAAGCAAGCCTCTGGCGGTCCCCTGGGAAATCCCCAAGGAAGCCGGCGGAGGCCTCCAAGAGGACTCCAATAGGCCCAAAGGGAAGCAACGAAAGCCCGAAGGCGCCGATCCCCCTTCCATCGCTCATCAGGCATTCCTCCTGGAGGGCGGGGCGCAAGGGGCAACGCCGCGGCGGGGCGCTCATCGTCGCCGCTGCCAGCGCTCACCCGTCAGCCCCGTCGTCCTCGTCGTCCTGGGCGGGTGGGGGCCTCCTCCTCCTCCCTCCGTCCCTTCCTCCTCCCCTCCTGATAGACTGTGCCACCCCCCGCCACCGCCACCACACCATCCCCCTTCTCATCATTCTCCTCCTCCTCGTCCTCCTCCTCCTCATCATCATCATCATTATCATCACCACCACCATCATCATCACCAGCAGCATCAACCTAATCATCATCAGCATCATAACCATCAGCAGCAACATCATCACCCGCATCAGCAACATCAGCATCATCCTCAACGGCATCATCACACTCATCATCATGAGCGGCAGCATCACCACCATCATCATGATTATCATCATCATCTGCATCATCACCATCAATGTCAGCAGCATCGCCACCATCACCATCAGCATCAGAAGAAGTCTTATCATGAACATCCTCACCATCAGCCGCACCATACTAATCACCAGCATCATCATCATCACCATCAACATCCTAACCATCAACATGATCATCATACGCAACATCACCTTAAATATCATCATCACCATCAACAGCATCAGCAGCATAACCATCATCACCATCATGATCATCCATATCAGCAACATCACCATCGCTATCATCATCAGAACCACTATCATCAGCATCATCATGAACGTCATCATCAACATCATCATCACCATCAGCATGATCGTCATCATCGTTGTCATCGCCATCATCAACAGCAGCATCATCATCCGCGGCCTGCCTTTCCTCCTCCTTCTTCCTCTCTTCCTCCCCCTGCTGCCATTCATCCAAGTCTCCCCCTCGTAATGCTTCTCCTCCTATTCCTCCTCCTCAACTTCATGTGTTTCTCCCTCGTTCCTCTCCGAACTGATCCTCCTCCACCTCCTCCTCCTCTTCACCATCCTTCCGCCTACACACCCAGCGCGACGCTCATCTCCCCTTGATGCCGAGACTCTTCTTCCGTCGTTCCCTCCACCTCCTCCTCCTCGTCCTCCTCTTCCTCATTCTGCTCGTCATCGTCCTCATCGTCCTTGCCGTCGCCATGCCATTGAACAAGAGGCACGCGTGCCAATGATCATACAATCGCGGATGCGTGACAATGGGGGAAGAAGATAGAGCCAACCTGTGGTAGTTTCGGGGAAGCGCGCGAGTGCTGCGACACGCTGGCGAGTGACCATAACGGGTGAGCAGCGAATAGCAACATCGCTGTGTGGACGCAGCGCAAGGTTCGATCGGAAGGCGATCTCAACATGGCGGGAGACGTTTGCGAGCTTTCAACGGCGTGTTTTAGAATGCAGTCCCCCTGTATGGAGCGAAACGCTTGGTCCCAAGAGGGGGGGGCACGATGGTATGTGTAGCCAAGATCCGCCACCGTGTCTTCAGCACGTTGTGGAGTGCCCCAAGGCGCATGCAGTCCTGGGAGGCACGGGGCTTGTAAGGTTCTTCAGGGCCCAGGGGCCCAGACCCTTGGTTTCCCAGGCGCTCTTGCGCTCTCTTGCGCGGGCCCGGGGTGTCACGTGGGCTTTGGCGACGCCACGAGGGCCCGAAGACGGGCCAAGAGGGCCCTCAGAGACTCCCCAGAGGGTGGAAAAAAGGCCCCGAGTCGTCGAACGATCGGTCCAAGACGCCCAAGACGGCCTCCAGACGGCCCAGTATGCCCCCAGGACGCCCCAAGAGGCCTTCAAGAAACCTTCCGAAAGGGCCCAGAGACAAAAATAATGGATGCTTGATAAATGTTTGAAATAGTGCTCGCTCTTGGGAGCCTTGGTGTGAAAAGATCTTGTTACGTCACTGCGAGTTTGTCGGAACCATGGTGTAATTTGGCGTCGCGGTCGGCCGGTCGGAATTAGCAGAGAGGAGGGGGGGCACGGGGGGCCACGGTCGGGCATGGAGGGGGGGGCACGATCGGTCGGCCGGAAGAAGGGCACGGGGGGCAGCAACTGGGCAGGGGGGCGAGAAGCACGGTCGGTCGGTCGGAATAAACAGAGGGGGGGGGCACGGGGGGGAGGGGGGGGGGCACGCGGGGCCGCGGTCGGGCAGGGGGCGGCACGGTCGGTCGGTCAGAACAAGCAGAGAGGGGGGCCACGGAAGGAAAGGGGGGGGAGCACGGGGGCCACGGTCCGGCGGGGGGGATCGGAGAAGCAGAGGGGTGGTGGGCGCGGGGGGGAGGAGGGGCAGCCCGGCGGGGGGCCACGTCGAGCAGAGGGGGGTGGGCTCTCTCGATCGGTCGGAATATGCAGAGGGGTGGGGCACGGGGATGGAGGGAACACGGGGGACACAGTCGGGCAGTGGCAGGGGGGGTGCACGGTCGGTCGGAATGTGCAGAGGAGGGGGGAGGGGGGCACGGGGCGGGGCGGCACCCTCCCGCAGGGGGGGCACGGTCGGTCGGCCGGTCGGACTTAGCAGAGTGGGGGGTGGGGGGGGGGCACATAAGGACAGGGGCGGCACGGGGGGCCAGGGACGGGCAGGGGGGCGGCACGGTCGGTCGGTCAGAATAGGCAAAGAGAGGGGGGAGGGGGGGGGGGGGGGGGAACGGTCGGGCAGAGGGTGCAGATGGATGGGGGGGGGGGGGGCACGGGGAAAAGGGGTGGTGGGCACGGGGGGGCCACGGTCGAACAGGGGGAGAGGGCACGGTCGGTCGGTCCGAAGAAGCAGAGGGGGGGAGGGGTGGCACGGGGGCCACGGTCCGGCAAGGGAGGGGCACGGTCGGTCGGTCGGAATAAGCAGAGAGGGTGGCAAGAGAGGAAAGGAGGGAAGCACGTGGGCCACGGTCGGGCAGAGGCGGGGGGAGGGGGCACGGTCGGTCGGTCGGAATAAGCAGGGGGCACGGGGGAAAAAGAAGTGGGGCGCACGGGTGGCCACGGTCGAGCAGGGGGGGCGGGGGGCACAGCACAGTCGGTCGGTCGGAACAGGACAAGGGGGGCCACGGGAGGAAAAAGGGTGGGCACGGGGGGCCACGGACGGGCAGCGGAGACGGAGGGGGGGCACGGCCGGTCGGGGAAGGAGGGGGCACGGGGTGCAACGGTCGGGCAAGGGGGGGAGGGAGCACAGTCGGTCGGTCGGAATGAGCAGAAGGGGGGGGGGGGGGGGGCACGCGGGGAGGGAGGGGGGGGCACGGGGGGAAGGGGGGGGAAGCACGGGTGGCCATTGTCGGGCCGGGGGGGGCTGGGGGGCACTGTCGGCCAGTCGGAAAAAACAAGGGGGGGCACGGGGGACAGGGGAGCACGGGGGGCAACGGTCGGGCAGGGGGGGGCACGGTCGGTCGGTCGGAATTGGCAGAAGGAGGGCCCAAGGGGAAGGGGGGGGCAAGGGGGGGCACAACCGGGCAGGGGGGGAAGGGCACGGCCGCTCGGTCAGAAATAAGCAAAAGGGGAGCACGGGAAGAAGGAGGCGCACGGGGGGCCATGGTCGGGCAAGGGGGGCAAGGTTGGTCACCGACACATCATAGCACCGAGCACCGAGCACACCGAAGCAGCGCACCGACACATCCCAGCGCGCATCCCAGCACACCCAGGGGGGCGGCGGCCAGCACAGATCGCAACCCATCACAGCACGCCCACACATCCCAGCACATCCAGCACGCATTCCAGCACATCTCCCAGCACACATCCCAGCACAGATTCCAGCATACGGAGGCAGCACAACCCAGCACACACCTTGGCACACCTCCACACATCCCAGCACCCCAGCACACATCCAGGGGGGCCACGGCCAGCACATATCGCAGCACAGCGAGGCGACACACACACACACACACACATTCCAGCACACGGAGGCAGAGCAAACCCAGCACGCGTGGCACACCTCCACATATCACAGCACCCCCAGCGCACATCCGAGTACGTCCACACATCTCAGCACACCGATCTCGAAACACCTAGACCGTACACGGATACATCCCAGCACAGAGAACACCGAGGCAGTATCCCAGCACCAAGCACACCGAGGCAGTACACCGACACATATCAGCACGCAGCCTGGCCCAACACACCGAAACAGTCACGCATCCCAGCACACGGAACCCAGCACAGATCACAGGCACGTTCGGTCGTTTGAAATAACGCAGTGCGAGATCACACTGATAGGTATGATAATTCATGTCGGAGACGCAGAGAAGTCCAGACATGCAACCTTATGTACCACAAAGTTTGCAACTTTGCATACGACTTGAATGCTATGCTAGCTCAAAGAGCACCAGCGTATGTCTTGTTGGCTGCTTGCTGCAATGGTGAAGCAAGTCGTCGTCGTCGGCGTCCTCCTTTTGAGCGTCCCCCGCAAAACTTCCCGTCTCCCTCCTCCTCCTCCTCCTCCTTCTTTTCCTCCTCCTCCTCCTCTTCCTCCTCATTGTCTTCCTCTCGCGCAACGACCCCGTCGGAACTGACTTCGTGGCCAGGCCAGCGATCGGCATTTGATGTCATCAGAGAAATGGAAGCTTTCGGGCGCCCACGTGGGCGCATAATGTCTAAAACTGTTAAGCATATATGATGGGGAGACAGTTTAAAAAATGGTTGTCCCCCGCGCTGTAGTGCGCCTATAGAAAACAAAAAGGAGGCGGGGCAAACTGGATCGCTGGAAACGTCCCCGCGACCGCCCTGGCGCCCTGCGTGCAGGGGCAGATTCCTGCGCGCCCCCTCTTGGCGTTAGGCCACGCCTACCACGCCCTGCGACCCCAACGTGGATAGAGACTGCACTCAGGGACCACTCCCTGCGCACCGCGCACCCTGCCTGGGTTGCGAAGCGGCACCAAGTACGCAAACGCGGCACGCCGCCGATAGATTTTATGCAACGGGGGCGGTGTTTAACTCCAAAGCCAAACGTCGAAAACCCACTGTAAAGTAAAACAAAAAAACATTCTCTGATCGGAAGACGGGAACAGCCCAATGTGGATATACGACACCGAATGCAAAAATGCCAACCGCCAGCGCGGGCGCGGCGGCGGCATGACGCTGATAGATTTTATACAACGGGACAAAATTTGATCTCCAAAACCCAATGGTGAAAACCCAACGTAACAAAGAAACGCTCT